GAGGACACCCACCACTCACGCGCGAGCGGCAGTAAGCAGAGGAGACGATGTCACAGCCTGGGGCAAACGGTGACGGGCGGTACTACAACGCGTAGGTGTACCAGCTCCTCCGCTCGCGGCGCACGAAATTATCCCGGGTCTGAGGGGGATCGCCTTCGTCCATGAGCACCATTATCATCAGCAGCTCCAGGAGCTGTCTCATGCGCTTCTTTGTCTTTCCTCGCAGCCATGAGCGGCGGCTGGCAGGAGCGCGAGCCATTCTTTTGGGATGAGGCGCGACGCTGCGGACGTCGTGTCACGGAACTGGCGGGCTGTTCGCCGCTTGAAGTGGGCGCTTCAACGTGATTCTCAATTTCGATTTTGATTTCTCGATAAGACACCGCGGGCGAATTTGGGCGACTCTTCAGGACTTAAACTGATTTTTGATTTCGATTTCTGATCTTGATTCTGTCGATAAGACACATCCTTAGAAGTCAAGATCGGTGTCAATCCAGAGAGGAGTTGACACTGCGGCGACGGGGCGGATACAATCGGTTGACGTCGCCCTTGTGCTTGCGATTTTTTGGGAAGACATTTTACATTCATTTGGGCTTCATTCAACTTACCTCCTTAACGGTTGTTTTCCTCACAGAGGAACAAAGGGTTGGACACACAAGAATCAGGCGCGTTCCATCGGAAGGAGCACCCGGTGATGGCTTGTAACAAGGGACTGGTGGTACGATACGACACAGCATTTATTGGGGCAAGTTTAGGACTTCACACACGCAATGTAAGCACCAGACGTCAGGGGAATACACACACGGGAGGGCCGACGGAAAGCCGGGGGTGCAAAATATACTCCACCGGACCCCTATCCTTGTTCAGATCTCGGGGCCGGCGTTGGAGGACAAGCGTACAAGCGTGCACGTGTTTGTATCCTTGGTCACACGATCGCCAACATGTCCAGCATGACAATCTCACCACGTCTCCAGGCGAAAGAGATCGCCAGACAAGAGCAGGTGGGGTGTGTTCCACTGTATGCTATTTAGCACATTAAATACATGCCGAGCACACACAAACTAATAATAATAGCGCGGTCGATGCTAATAAGAAAAGCACAAACTAACGGCTCTTTCGTGCACACTGGGCTGCTGGGTAGCATGCAAGAGCTGTGTGGGCTACAACCAAAGGTAGAGAGAGGGTCTTGGTAAAGTCAGTGTTCGTGTGATGGAGAGCGCCCTGTTGGGACCAATTTGGTTGAGAATCGTACTGTCGGCGTGCCGATGTTGTGAGAACGCGACCCACAGCCCGTTATGTAGTGGTAGACGACAGCATCCTGAAAAGCGGAGTTTTCCAAGCTCCCTGTCGCACAGCCCTGTCGCGGGTGTCAAGCACCTACACCGCCATGCTACCCGCTGTCTTCTTCCCTCACCTCTTAGTTGAGCCTTGTGCTGCGGGTGAACTACTGCGGCAGTGATGCGTTGTACGGCACAAAATCCTGTATTTTGTATCTCCTTCTCCAGTGCAGTGCAGACCCCTCCTCCGGGAGTCGCGCTACCGCTGCAGCTGTTGCAACTTTTCCCTCACCAGACCAGCGCCACTGCTCTAGCAGGCTATTGGGGGCTCTGATGAAGGCCAGGCAATCCCTCATCCGTGACTTTCTCGGCCGTCGCCAACGTCGTCGCGCACCCACCAAACAGGCAGAACACCAGAAGAACAGGAGTCAGTCCGGCCGCAGGAAGAAGCGTACGGCCCAGTCGCCGCCACCAGCGGAGGAGGATGCCGCCGCCAAGCGGCCGAGAACAAGCACGCCGAAGGCAAGGCCTCCGGCGCCCAGCAAGGCGGGATCTATTCGTCATGCCAGGCCCGCGAAGCAACTCGGTGGGGAAACGCCTCAGGCGGGAAATAAAAAAGTCGGCTCTAAGAAGGGGGCGGCCAATAGAACCCCCGGCAGCGCGAAGACGGACAGCAGCAGCGCGAGGAGGGGGGGGCAGCAGCGGGGCGGCGGCGGCGGCGGCGGCGGCTGCCCGGAACAGAGAGAGAGGAAAGGGCGGTCGAGGGGAAAGCCGGAACCGTGCGGGAAGCGTGCCCAGGTTTCCAAGCGGGCCGCCTCGACCGGAGCCCGAAAGGTGAGCACGTTTGCTGCAGCGAGCACACCGATAACCCTGTCTTGGTGGCCGACACAGCAGCGTCGACGAAGTTGGGCCTTCGGACACCGAGTTTCTGTGTACGCCACACGCACATCGCGTGGAAATTGATAGTAAGGCGCGCACTTGAACTTGTTGTACGTGTTTTTTTTCTCGAATACTGTACCCGGCAAGAGCTTGGGATATACAGTAGAAGTATACGTAAATGACCCTCCTCTCTCCGGCGCGGTGTGTATCCCACCGGTGCAATTGCGGCCTGTCCAGCGCTGCATAAAAAAATACTTTCGTCACAATTATTACGGAGGGTGTTGGGGGGGGGTGTTCGTCTCTCGGACGCTCTCATGAGTATGATGCTGTATAAGTCGGCCCGCGCTCGTGTGAAATACCTTTGGGGCACGACTTCAACTTGAAACGATTATGCGGGGAGTTCGACGATAATGATACCTCTTAGGAGGACCGAAGCAGTGCCAAACCTTCCCGAGTGACGGCACGCCCCCCGCACCCGAAGACTGGCGTTCATCGCTTGATTGCTCCACAACTAAAAGAGGATGTGAAGACCGGTCGATAGGCCTATAAGGAAAGCTCTCGACTGAATGTTATCCCAAGATCGCCATTTTTCCGCAGTAGTACCCTCGCTGCTGTAGACCAGTCGAGCTTAAGAAAATCGTTCTGGGGGGGATGGGTGCAATCACTCGCACGATTTTCGGTACACAGTCAATCGGTTCCTTTGAGGCGGTTGCGATACAGGCTGCGGCAAAGGCAACCACTCGCACGATATCGATAAGGGTCAGCCGTTACTTCGAGGCGCTTCAGGCACGCAAGCTCCGGCAACCAGAACAGACCGGCACCTAAAGCAGCCTCCGTGTTCCCATGCTTTCATTGGGGACTAACGGCGGGAGCGACGCACCCACGAGCTTCGCACCGCCCCTCCCCCCCCCAGGTTCCGGCGAAAAAGGCTTCGATTTCCTCTCCCCCCGCAGGCCAGGGCAACGGCAGCAGCAGCAGCAGCAGCAGCAGCAGCAGCAGCAAGCGCAAGGGAAAACCGCCGCCGCAGAGCAATCTCGGTAAGGCTTTCGGCAAGGGGCCGAGCGCGAAGCAGCGAAAGCTCTTCAAGCTGAGCAAGGTGAGTTTTGACACATTGGGTGTTGTCGCTCGTACTTTGCTTATCGTCCTTTGGTGGCAGTTGTGGAAGGCGCTCGTTGTTTGGGGGGGTGGCTGTGTTGTGTTCGTGGTTCTTTTCCTCTTCTCGTGGGATCAGCGCCACCTACAGCAGTATCTGGTGCGACGTGTCGAGCGAGTTGACCCCGGGGGAGTGTATCTTGAGGGGGCGAAGGGCGGTTTATTTTGGAGCCTTTCGCCTCTAGCCATACTTTGCGAGTCATGAGTTTGCCGAAGCAGCCGCTCTGTGCCGTTTTTCTGTTTGAGGTCCGTGCGACGGAAGGTAAAGCACACTGATTGGGTCGTTCTTCTCCGCGGCCGGACCTCCATCCCCCCAGCCTGACCCACCACCAGCCGAGCGCACGGCACGCCCCCCCCCCCCACCAGCAACCAAAAAAACATGCCCCAATCTACCGGTGTTTCCGCTTATGGCGCCAGCTCACCACACCCACTTGGACAATTGTTGTTGTTATTGCCTTCACATTGGTAGTTGTTGGTGTTGTTGTTGCCCCACGGCAGGACACAAGCAGGTTATGCTGTTGGCGTTGTCTGCCCATTTAAGAACCGTTCCGGTCTCCACTTAGAACCTTCTATCTAGTCTTCGTACTGGTCCAACTGACTCGGGCGCCTTCCGTGGTCACGGACAACAATCAACCCCACAGGGTACATACACACTTCCAGAAACCCCACAGGATCCATACACAATTCGTAGGAGTCAAAAGGAAGGAAAGGCATCAGCAAATCCTCGCATTGTGCTTACACATGAACTTTAATATCCCTCGCATGAATCGCGGTTCTCCAGTCGCTGCTCCCTCTGGGCATCTGGCCTTCTTCGAGTGAGAGCGGGGCCTTCGACATTGCGCCGGAGTGGAAGGCCAGCCTGCTCAAGCGCTACGAGAACCCGCCGCCGTACAGAAAGCTCAAGGTCAGCCCAGCAGCAGCACGTCTCGGCGGAGGAGGAGGGAGGGGGTGAATAGGCGTATGGAAAGGGCTACATACCGCAAGCAAGGTTGTATTTTGGTTGAGAGATCTTCAGGAGAGAGGTGAGAGAGACGGAGAAAAGCAGACATGCAAACAGACGGACAGACAGAAGCGCGGCGGCTAACCCTTTCTTGTTTGGGCAACTGCTGTCTTGTGGCTTTGTGCTGTTGCTGTCTGTCGTGCGGTGGCACCGTGCAGGCCAACCTGTACGAAGACAGCTCCCTCAAGGGCCTGGTTCCCGTTGACGAGATCCCGCTGTGCAACTGCCGACCGGAAGACGGCTGCGACGCTAACTGCATAAAGTGAGGGCGACAACAAAGATATAACACTCTCGCACGCGGCGGCCGAACGCACACGAAAAATGTTCCACCGAGACAAGTCGAAGGATAACCTGTAGCTATGTGAGGGGAAATTGTCTCCGCGCGGTTTATGAAAGTCGTGGCTTTTTTGTGCAGCTTGAGTCCACACGGCTCGGGTTTGGTGGAATGTCCGGTTGCTCATTGGTGTCGATGTTGGCTCGATCCAATCGGTCTTGCGGTCCGCTCCGCCCGCAGTGCAGATGCCGTTGCAGCGTGCAGCCTCCTGCCTCGAGTGTGGTTTCGTTCTGTTCTGTTCAACAAACGCCTTTGGCAGTGGAGCCGACTCCAGGGATGTGGTGGAACGTTCCGAACCTCTTGCCTCCCTCCTACCCGCTCCCTCTATTGAGCCCACCTCTCCTGTAGCGTGTGCGTCGAGACCCAGGCTGCTGCCGAATTATGACTGGCCCTTGCGGGCCCTGGGGCTAGTCGCTCCAGGCACCCCCGCCCCCCCCCGCCCCCCGCCGCCTTCGAGTTATCTATTTTGGGCAACTGCGCCGCCTGTGGAAGAATCAGAGAAGTATTTCGCCTTCGACTAGTTAGGCCATCACGCCGCCCGTGGACGGGTCGGAGGAGTTTTTCGCCCCCTCGTACTCGTTGCCCCCCCCCCCCCCC